GAGGAAGAGGGGGCGAGGGAGGGGGCAGGGGAGGGGGCAGGGGAAGAGGCTGAGGCTGACAAGGGGCAGAATGGCTGCCTGCCACCACCAGAGAGTGAGTCTAAGGTATGACAGTTTCTCCCCTGTGGCAGGACCAGACGCAGGTACCTAGGGCGCTGGATATTGGAGGCAGAGAGGGAATCCGGTGAGGTCCCCTGGAATGGGCTGAGGCTGGAGAGGCCCCTCAGAATCTCGAGTCCAGGATCCAATGTGCAAGGGAGGGGTCCTGATTTCAGGAGAATGGAGGGTGGGGGTGAGTGAACTTACCAGCCTGTCTATGTTTCACCTTCACATCTCTGTTCATGGGTGGACGGATGGACAGAAGGATGGAATTAGGTGGACTGGACGGGAAGATGGAAGCCGATAGACAGCTGGTGGATAAGTAAACGGACGGAAAGACAGGTGGTGCACGCAGGGCTGCTGCTAACCCCTAGAGCATCTTTGTACAAATTCTAAAAAGGCACCCTTTTCCTCCAGACTGACGCCACCCCAGACCAGGGAGAGTGGCTCGGGGCACAGAGTGTCGGCTGGATTTTAGTCCCCGCTCACCTCCTCAGCCAGCTTCCCCAGGTTTGACACACCCGGCTCACTGGACAGTAGCCCCCGCTGGCCCAGAGGAGAGAAAGCTGGGGGGAGGCGGGCAGAGGTGAGGAGGGTGTCCTCCCAGCTCCAGCCCCACCACTGCCGGGCTGTGGGGGGGGGGCAGAGGAGACGCTGTAGGGGTGGCTCAGCAGGGTGCCAGTGACTGTCTGTTGCTCAGGGAAACGGAAAGTAGGGAGCAGGGAGCACTCAGAGCTGGGTTCCTGGGAAAGGAGCGCTGCTTTCTGACAGAGGAGTGGGATTTCATAAGTACCTCTGCAGATATAGGAGGGTAGAGAGGTTCTGAGGAGGAAGAGGGCCAGGGAGAGACTGAGAGGTAGGTTCACTAGATTTGGGACACAGGGGCCTTTGGGAAAGCAGAATTAGTCTTGGGGCACAGTGAGAGGGAGTCATTCATATCATTCATTGGGTGACATTGGGTATAGAGCACTGAACCAGGCACATGGGGGGTGGACAGAGACCCATTTCCTATCTCGTAATATAGTGCTCATGGGAAACACAGAGAAGTATGCCCATGGCAACTGTTTCAAAGTGAGAACCTGAGCAGTCTCTCTGAGCAGGGGTAGAAGGGCCTGGTAATCAGAAAGCTGGGGATTGAGCGTGGCACAGGGAATGAGCCAAGCCATCAGCTGCAACACTTGAGTGAGCATCAGAGTCACCTGGAGGGCTTGTGGAAACAGACTGCGGCCCCCTTCCCAGAGCTTCTGACCCAAAAGGTCTGAGGTGGAGACCAAACATGTGCACTTCTAACAGGTTCCCAGGTCATGCTGACACTGCTGGAATGGGGGCCCTTGTTTGAGAACGACTGCTCTAAGAGAAGAACTGGAGAGGGGGCACCCAAGCTGAGAAGCTGAGGAATCGTGGGGTGGAGACTGAAACATAAAGGGTGGAGTCGTGTGTAGGGAAAGGGTACCAGGGCTGATGAGTTTAACTCTGGGCCCGGGAACTCACCCATCAGTGGAAATAGGGCAGTGACAACTAGAGAGAGTGTTTGGGGAAGATAAGTAGGCAATTCAGATAGGAGGAGGCAGTCAGGAGGCCTTGAGGAGATTTCTGGAGAGATGGTGGGAGCTATAGCAGGCAGTGGCAAAGGAGGGAATCCCCTGTAGGTTCTTACTTTCACAGTAGTATCTTTGCTGCAGGCATTTTTGCTGCAGGCATTTTTGCTGCGAACATTTTCACCACATAACTGATTGGCTATAAGGCAATTTTGTCATTAAAAAGAAGGCGATTAAAGGGCATAGAGGGGATAAAAGGTGATGGAAAAAATAAAAGACTTTATTGTGAAAAACAAGGTATTCGAATACATTTAAAAAGTGTGCCGACTCATGACAGTACTGCACAAATCACCGATTTTTTGTGTGTGGTTGTCTTAGTTCTATGGGAAATATGGATTCAACTCTGCACCTTCAAAGAAGGACCTTGGCCTCTCTTTCTCCCCACAATGTAGTCTTTCAAAATAAGAAACTAACTCTTGGGGCAAATCATCGTCATCTGGAAGAAATGCTTACTATTTTAAGACCAGCACCCTGTCTACTCATCACTGTATAGACAATTATGGAAACTAGCTAAGATTTATATATAATATAAAAATGGAAATATTGCAAGAACTTGATGAATGGAGAAATGAAACCAGAATGACAACTAGCTTAAATACATTAAGTCTGCTGAAAGTGATCGATTTGTATATGGAGAAATGAAACCAAACCAAAAAACACCCCCTCCCCAAAAAAAACTGTCAAACAGCTATTTTATCCCTCTCACAGCAAAATTGCCTTATGGCCTGTTAGTTATGCATTGAAAATGCTTCGGGCAAAAGTGCTTGCAGCAAAGGCGCTACAACAAACACACCAGATACACCCTTGTAGGACTTCGGAGGCAGGATTAAATGTGGGAAAGAATGTGAGAGAAGCGAGGCATCCAACATCTGGCTGTGTCTGTGGCCTGTGGTCTGCCCAGCTGGGACAGGAGCCCCTACAGATGCTATTCCCATTCCATGGCCACTCCCTTCCCCCGTCATCCCAGTCACCAAGGGTACCCTCCAGGAGGGGCAAGGGGGGAGCAACAGCAAGTTGAGAAGTAGTTACTGGGGACCTGAGGCTGGCCTCCTGAGAGAAAAGTGTGTGCCCAAGCAAGCATGCTCTCTGACACTGGCTACACCCCACTCGTGTCCTTGAATAAAAGTCTATGGGAAAACACTCCAATCTGCTCCATTCCAGGCTGGGAAGCTGAGGTCCTATGGGACCTGTGCCTCCTAGAAGCAGAAATGTGGGTCCCAGAGAAGTCCATGCCAGTTTGGGTCCACTCAGAGAGGACGTCTTTGCCTTAGGTCACAGGGCCACCTGAGTGACCATCAGAGATGAGATCCCGGAACCCTAGAGTCACCTGAAGAACAAATGTTGGGATGCAGGATGGAGAGTCATTTTGGTTTAACTCAGTGAAAAAGCTGGAGTCTGTACAGGAGGGAGTGGGCTGTCTGTATCCACACACACACACACACACACACACACAGTAGTTAATCCATTGCAAGTGAACGGGCAGAGAAACTGAGGCTGGATGGAAGTCACTGAGGCCCCACCACACCTTTCCTCACCACTCAGGGCACCACTGGGTACAGTGCAAAGTCAGGAGACCTAAGTAATAGTCCTGACACTGTCACTAATTAGCTCTATAATTCTGGGTAAGTCACATGACTTCTCTGGGCCTCAGTTTCCCCATCCATAAAAACAACACTTAGCAAACTAGTAATGCTCAATAATGTTTAAATAACTGAATTGAAAGAGGTAGACTGGAAAAAAATTATATACCTATATAACAATTAAAAAAAGACAGAGGTAGGCTGGGTGCCTCTTAAGGTGGTGCAGTAAGAATTCTAAGATTAAACCCTTAGATGAGGGTGAGGCAAGGCCTAGGGGGCGGGGTGCTTGCAGGCTGTGAGAGTGGGTGTATCCTGGGGCTCGGGACACACAGACCTCCCTCCCCTGACTGCTGTGTAGCCACCACCCAGGCAGGGCTGTGTTCTGGGGCTTCTGTTCTGCGCTGTCAGACAGAATGAAGATGGGGAGGAAAAGGCTGAGGCCCCAGGGCCAGTGGGAGGAGTCAGGTCCAAGATGTGCCGGGACCAGCAGAATGAAGTGCAGAGTGGTGCCGAGAACTCAGAAGGGGCACCGGCCCCTGGAAGTCTGTGCGCTGCAACCTAGGAGAGGCCGAGACGGGACCCTCCCTTCTGGGCTCCCCTCCCTGAGTAGGAGTCCCAGTAGGAACCAGCTCAGCACTGACAGCTAGGCAGCAGATGGGACCCTTCCGGGGGTGGGTGGCACAGCCCACGGGGGCCAGATGGTGTTTGTGGTGGGAAGAGAAGCCTGGGTCATCCAGAATAGGTTGTCACCCCCAACAACCTCCCTGTCACACCCCCCAGCCCCTTTTATAGCCTGATGGCAGGGAAGACTCAGCCAGCCCTAGATTTTATAAAACAAGTTTATTCATATTTTAGAAAAACTAATTCTAGGACAGGGAAGGCCTCCCTACAGGCTGGGTATGAGATCAAGAACAGAAAGCCAGAGGGAGGAACCAGGAAGGAAGGAGGAGGGAATGGGGACCATGCCCCCCCACTGAGTGGGGATAGGTCAAATAAATTAAAGGAAGGGCAGACCGAGGGAGACGGTATCCGGGCAACCGGAGGTGGGCTTGGAGCTGGGCTGGAAGACAGTCACACCTGTGAGGGCTGGAGAGAGAGAGTGGAGTGGGCGAAGGAAAGCCCTGAGTGGGGCTCCCTCCCGCCCTCGCCCGTGAACAGGATCCTGCAGGGAGCTGGGAGCCGGCCCCTCCTCAGGTGGGGCCAAGGGGAGGCAGCGCACCTCAGCTTGAGAAGGTAAGGCTGGGGGTCCCTTCCCTCACCTGGGCAGGAGGCGCGCAAGGGATCATCGTTTTCGCAGCCTCTTCATGAAGCAGCAGGTGATGGTGCTAAGGATGATGGCGCCGGTGACCAGGGCAACCCCTGCACCCACCAGCAGGGGCACGAGCAGGGTGTCCAGGGCTGGGCGAGAGAGAATGGCGGTGTTCAGCCTGGGGTGCCGCTGCGCCCCACACACTGTCTCCCTGAAGCACCAGCACCTTCTCTATTAAGTTGTCTGCAGCCACCTCCCCCCTAATCACAGACAGATCTCCCAGCCCACTCCTGCCTTCTCAGCACTCAAGTCAACCTCCACCAAGGACCCTGGGGCAGATGGGCACTGGAGGACTAAGAGCTGGATTTTCAAGACTCTCCGTGGGAAGTGATGCGGAGGGAAAGGGGGGCCAGCAGTAGGAGGATCATGTGGAAAGGGAAGCATTAGAGCATGGGGCTGGAGGAAGGTGGCGAGTGAGGAGGGGAGGGTGGGAGCCACTCACCATGCAGGTAGGGGTAGACTGTGACAGGCCCTGAGCGGGCACTGCCCACCTGGTACCAGCTATAGTCAGCATGCTGCACCCAGGCGCTGGGGGCACAGTGGTATACACCTTCATCCTCGGGCCCCAAGCTGTGTAGTCTCAGTCGATGGCTTCGGGGCCCCACCAGCTCCACGCTCACAGGGCCTCCTCCAGGTCTGACCCCCAGCTTTGCCACACCATCCTGACCCATGCCACCCACCAGCTGGGCAGGGGCCACGCTCAGCTCCTGGTCCTTAGATCGCTCCACCCACCAGCTGGTGGCCAGCCGCAGCCCCGAGGGACCACCCCGCACAGAGATGTTGCAGAGCAGGGAGGCAGTCTCCCCGCGGTACACCGCACCTCCTGCCAGCCACGCCACAGCCTCCAGCACCACACCTGCACAACAAAGACCAGGGGATCAGAGGGTGAAGGGTCGGGGCGGGCGGGGGAGCATTCGGTCTAGACTGCTGTCCAAGCAACACCCCAGGAAATTTAAGGTGTCCCCACAATCTTAGGAGAGGAGTGGGAGACTAAGGCATGGAGGCAGCTGATGGAGAGAGCGAGAGGATAGTAACGGAAAAGGGTTCTACGAGCCCAACCCACCCCTCTTACCTTCCTCCCGCACATGCACAGGGAGGGGCCGGGAGCGGGCACTGGCTGCTTCACGAAGCCGGGCCCCAGACCCTCGGACGTAGGCCTTGGCGAGGCAGCGGTAGGTGCCTGCATCGCCAGGCTGGGCAGCCTCCAGCCGTAGCCGGTAGGTTCTGGATGCCACCTTCTCCATGGCAATGTGCCGGCCCTCGTAGCCAGGGCCCAGGCTGCCCACACCCTCTGTGTCCAACTGGGCTACCAGGCGGCCAGGCCCAGGTGCCCCTGCAGGTGCCATCTCCCAGCCCACAGAGTACGCAGCATGATGGCCTGGTGGGGGCAGTGCCCCTGACACATTGCACAGCAGTTCCAAGGGCTCCCCGGGGCCAATCCGACGTTCACCGGGCCCCACTGCCACTGCTAGCTGGCTGGCTGAAACACAGGAGGGGGAAGAGGTGTCATGGAGGCAGGAGTGGGCAGGGAGTGCCTGGCTCCCCAGCTGTAGTTCCCTTGACAGCAGCAACTTCGAAGCCACTCATCTGACCCTCGTGAGTATGTCTCCCCCACTCAGGGGCCTGACTCGCCCCTCAGCCATGGCCCTCCTATCTCCACTCCAACTCTAAGCGGAGAAAACCCATCATGGGTACAGAGGGAAGAGATGCTCACTTGAGGAAAGGTGGGCTCCCTGGTCAGATAATGACCATCTAGTGTCCCAGATGCCCGTGGTGCCCAATGAGACACCATGGCTCCCAGCCCCTGTACTTACACAGAGTCTGCACGTCCACATGGGCCAGGACAGCCCTCTTCTCCGCGATCTGGGCCCAGCTACCATCAGGATCCTGAATCCACTCACTGGCAGTGCAGTGGTAGGTGCCAGCATCCTCGGCCTGGGCGCCCCCCACCACCATGCGGTACCGCTCAGCTCCCTCCTTGCTCAGCCGCAGCTCCCCCGCAGCTAGCCGCTCAGCGTAGGGAGCACCAGCCTCCACAGCCAGGTCAGGCCGAAGCCCCACCACTTCCTGCAGAGTTGCTCGCCCCACGGGTGCCTCAGGCACGGCTCGTCCAAAGGACACCGCCAGGTGTGTGTGCTTCTGCGTGCTTGTCCGTGCCAGGCAGCCCAGCGCCAGCTCCTGCCCCTCGTGCACCATCAGGCGAGGGGGAGAAGTCGGAGCCTGGCGGCCTCGGGGCCCTGGGGAGGTAGCAGATACCTGCAGCACATCTGGAAGAACTGGAGAGAACAGCTGGCGTGAAGGGAGGGCTGGGAGCTAGTAGACCTCGTTACTGTTTCCTACATACAACCTATTTAGACTGTGAGCTGCTAGCGGGTGGAGATTTCATGGTGTACTATTTCTTCTGCAACTCAGTGGTGCCAAGCTCAGTGCTGGGCACACAACAGGCACTCAATAAACACTTGCTACATATCACAGAACCAGCCAATTGCCTACTCACCCTTACGTTTGGGACTGACCACTGTTGGAAATACTCAGAAGGAAGGCTCTGTCTTCCTTCTCAGAAGACAAAGAAACTTAAGAGAGCAAGAACGTCACATGGTCTTACTCCTCCTACCCCACCTCTGCTTTCCCCCCTCCTCCTCCAGATCTGGATCCTATCTCCAGGAATGGATTGATTCACCCTGTGAGGGAATGGAGAGGGAATCGGACAGTCTAACGGTGCTTCTTCTCTCCCAGGAGGTAGCTCAATGGAATAAGAAGAGCAGTGGACTGGAAGAAGAGCAGCCACTAACTTGTTGGGTGATTTTGTGCAAGTCACTTGACCTCTTTGGGCCTCAGGTCCTCTTCTGCAAAACCTAAGGGGTGATTAGATAGGTCCCTCCTGGCCTGACTTTCTGCCCTTTTTTGCGGGCGGTGGCCCCACGCCTTCCCCGGGCCCAGTACCTCTCAGTTCCACCTTGCCGCTGTAGCTGCCCAGGTAGCGGGTGTCGGTGGAGGGTGTGTAGCACTCATAAACTCCAGCATCTTGGGCCTGCAGGCGGGCGATGTTGAGCACCACAGCATCACCCCGCAGACGCTGCACCTGCACCTCACCGGCTGCCACACGGGGCCCAAAGACAGCGTAGGAGAACTGGGCATCCCTGGTACTAACAATGCCCAGTGCAGTCTCTGGGGCCTCAGGTCTGTACAGGAACCACTCAAAGTCCTGCTGGGCAGGGCCATCATAGCCAGTGACATTGCAGGAGATAGAGATGGCTGTGCCAACCACGCGGTACAGCGGCCCCTCAGGGACCAGCACCTCCCGGGCACAGCATCCAACTCCTGTAGGGAAGAAGAGGGGGAGTTGGGAATGCCTGGATCCCCATGCATCCCCCCCACTGCCTGCACCATTCTTGGCCCCTGCTCCTGAAAGGAAAGAAAACCTGGGGAAAGTTAGTAAGCCACTTGGACCATGTTCTGAAAACAGGAAAAGAACGTTGAGAACAAGGAAAGAAGACACTCGGATCTCAAGAAAATGATACATAGCCAAGTTTGCTTCAGAACCCAGAAATATCCCATTTCTAGCCAGCCAGAAGCAGAGAGCCTATGGGCAGAATGGGGAGCCTCTGCTTCCTGTTTTAACTATTTCCTGATTCCAGCTATACCTTGATTCCCTCCCCGCATTCCCTCTCCCATTCTCATGTCTGTGGTTCCTGCTCTGGCCTGATCAGCAGGGCCTTCTACCTGAGGGACTCTGAAACCACATGTCCCCCTCCTTTGTTTGAGAGGAGCAGGCAAATTCTTGCTCAAAAGGACTGGTTGGCTCAGCTAAGTCACCTGGGCCAGGGGACTCCAGACAATGGAGCCAGTAGCCCAAGCTGAACAGGGCACAGACCCAGTCATTTCTCACCACACAATGCCCCCCTCCCCCAAGCTGTGCCATGAGCTCACTGCTTCTCCCACCCCACAGGGCTGCAGAGGCAGCTGAGGCTGATGGGGCAAGAGCCAGCTTCTGCCCTGGCCTCTCGGGACAGAAGATTCCCCCCTCCCCCCAGTGCCTGCCAATCTCAGAGGCTGGCCCAGCTGATGCACAATGACCGCCCCCAACTCCCTAACAAAAGCCTTCATTTGCATATGGTATGCATTCATTTATATGTGACTCCCTTTCCATAGAGAGACAGGAAACCCCCAGCTGTCCCTTCCCAGTTTTCTCTCCTAAGAGAGACCAAAACTCTCATTTCTTGTGTGTGTGTGTGTGTGTGTGTGTGTGTGTGTGTGTGTATTTTAAATTTTTATTTATTTATTTTAGAGACAGAGGAAAGGAGAGAGAAACATCGATTAGTTGTTTCACCTATTTATGCATTCACTGGTTGATTCTTGTATGTGCCCTGACCAGGGATGGAACCCATACATAACCTTGGCATATCAAGACCATGAGACCATGCTCTAACCAACTGAGCTACTCTACCCCAACCCCCAGGCTCCACATTGCCCCAGTAGATACTCCCAGGGGTTTGGTGGGCTCAGCTTCCTCTTTCTTTCCTTCCATCCTAGCCACACTAGATAAGCTCATGGACCCTCAGAATGTAAAGAGGGCTGGGGCAGACCCCTGCCTCCATTTTACACATGAGAAAGGTAAGACAGAAGTACACTGTCTTGGCCTGATCCCACTGTCCTTGGATATCTTCTACATGTCCCTGCAGAGAAACAAAGCCAGAAAGGAAGATGGGGAGCTCCAAGGCAAGCAAGGCCTAAAGGGATGACCTCACCAACCAGACTGTCATTCCCAGGGGCATCCCTAAGGCCTGTCCTCAGGGGCTGAGTCTGAGGTCAAACTCTGTCTTCTAGCTCCTCCAAAAGTACTCCCCTTGACTCTCCCACCTGGGCAGGCTCCTTGCCCTTCTTCCTGTGGCTGAGTCACTAGGAGAACTTGTGGTAGCCTGGCTAGGGAGCAGAATGGGAGTCAGCCCCATTCCTGTCCCCAGCTATATGGCCTGGATTTGTCCCTTCATTTCCCAGGCCTCAGTTTCCACACTGAGAGCTAACAGCTCCCACTCTGACTGTGTGACTCAGGAGGGCCCTGTCTGAGGGTGCTTTATAATCAAGGTACTGGCAAAGATGTATGAGTTGACACCTTTCCTAGCCTCCACCTTTCCTAGCCTCCACTTTCTAGTGCCTCCAGGCAGACTCTGCTCAGAAGGCCGCCTCCCACCTTCCTGGTTCCACAACTGCTGATGCTTGGAGATCCCCATGGGAAAGTCACCTCCACTGCCTTACGAAACCAGCTGCCAGGCAGCTCTCTCCCCAGCCACATCTCCTCTGTGTTAGCAGAGAGGGAAGGGAGAGCAGAGACTTGCTTTGCAGTCAGACAGATCTGGGTTCAAATCCTAGATCCAACACTCACTAGATGTGTCCTCTAGGGAAGTTACTCCGTTTTCCTCATCTTTAAAATGACTGTAAGTGCCCGGCAGGCTCTTTCATCTCTGTGCATCACACTTCTCTACCTCCCTTGAGGTCCTCTCTGCTCCACACTGCCCACTGGGGGAAATGGGACAAGTGCTAGGCAACAGGGCCCTCTGACATCCCCCTGCCTCCCACCAGGGCCCCAATAAGAGGACTCATTCTATTCCCATAGGGCCCAGGGCAGGAGAGGGAGACTCTGCTTGGTGCCACTGTGCAGCTCTGGTCCAGAAAAGGCAGCTGGAGCTAAATCAGCCTGCGCCTGGACTATGGCAGCTCCGAATCCTGGTGGCAAGACTACCCCCACCCTCACCCTCACCCTCACCCCCCATACTGCATTCTTATTTCAAGGGCTTCAGTCTCCTGAACATCTCTGTGCAGGCAGTCTCACTGTCTTGATGCCATGCTCCTCCCCAGGCATCTACAGGGAGCCCTTCAGTTCATGCCGAAAACAACCCCAACGTCACTGCCCTCATGCATCCACGCAGCAGCGGCCTGCCATGAACACCCACCAGGACAGAAACAGGGTGCTTGGAGATCCCAGCATCAGTCTCCATGGAGCCTGGTTTCTTCTGAGGCAGGAAAGCTGGGCCTAACTGCGTGTGACCACCAGTGGGAGGCTACAGAGCCAAGTGCCACCTGAGGGTGGGGAAGTGGGGCAGAGGGACCCTGCCCAGGCTGGAGATTGGGGATGGGAGAGGGAACTACGCCCAACCTCAGACGATGAACTGCGTAACCTCAGAGGATGAGGGCAATTACTTCAAGGATCATGGGCAGAACCGGCGCCTGGGCCTCTGGCCAACTAGGGGCAATTACGAAAACCGGCAGACGCTGCCCACGCAGAGCGGGCACCCCAGGGCGGGCCTGAAGCCGAGTATGAGGCAGAGAAGAGTCACAGCATTTGGGCGCAGCGACCCCAGGATTTGAATAAGCAGGGCGGTCTGGAGGCGCCCCTGACGAAGAAGTGGGGTGCAAGGGGCTCCGAGGTGTTGGGAAGGCTGGCCGGGCTGGGAGCCAGGCGGCAGGCACCTGCCGG